ACATCCCACCAAACCTTGGCTGGAAAAGATAGTGAAGCTTTAGCGATGAGTACTAGTGTTCCTGTAACCCAAGTTGTATTCTCCCCATCTGATTCAATTTACCTCGCAATCCAAGAAATGCAAAACTCACGCAACAGGTGAGGAATGTTTGGTTGCGTTCTTCCTTCGGGGAGCTATAGTACCTGAGAAATGTAAAACTCATTAGGAAATGAAACAGTAAAATGACACACTATCGGGTACTCAGACTTCCCCTGTGTAATTACAATATGACGCCTTGCCTTAAGAATGTCGTCACCCAATCTATCATTGGGAAGGGCCACGAAACCAAAATACAAAACAGAAATAAATGTACAGAAAATAAAACTAATTTTTTTAAATATATACAGGAGCCAAAACAGGTCGTGGTGGGTACCACGGTCCGTGAAGATGAGTTGGAAGCTTGACTTTGTTAATCACTGTACTGGAATGGATCACACACAACTTCACAGTCTGTGGAGTGAACCACGGTCTGTGATGACCATTGTGATCCTACTCAGTGTACTTACCTTTTGCCAAGTGTAGTCCACGAGGGGTTTCACGACCTGTAGTTGATTCCACGGTCCGTGAAGCCCATCGTGGACTTACACTTGGCCCTTTTTCAGTGCTCTTTCCTTCCAACAACAACCTATGCCCAATTTCACCTCATCAGGAAGTTATGAGATCTATTAGCACATAAGCTCAACCAATCTACCATATATATCAATTGTCATGTAAATCAAACACAATTACGACCTAGCTGTGATCATACCCTCTGCACATGAATTTGATCTCGCCCTTTCAACAGTTTTATTTACACAATTCATTAAGGCGTACATGTTTGGATCCCCTTTGAACTCAATTTCACACTAATGTCAACATGTAACACTAATTTCTCCCAAATTCTTCATACCCATGCACAAGAACCATCAAATATACCCAATTCAAGCTAGCCCACAACAAATCAATACCAATCAAGATAGTTCATCACATAATCATGCTAAACTCGACTAAATCAAAGTAAAATCTAACTTGTTTTAGACAAGATCAAACTTATAACAAGTTATAAAAGAACTTACTTGGAATTAGAGGAAAATTTCACTCAAAAAAAGAAGATGAACTTGGACATGAATTCCTGGGCAAAATAGAACTAGGGTTTTGAATTTGAGATAACTTTTAGGAGTTTAAAAGATGAAAGACCTTTTTTTATACTGCTAAGAACCGTTATAGATGAGAGGGAAGGGAAAATAACTGGCCCTTGGCGTTTAGGCTACATTATAAATGTTCTATTTGATTTCCCTTTACATGCGGGTCGGGTCGGGTACTGCTACTGCTGAGTTGCAGATGATAGATCGTGAAGTTTCCTGTGAAGGGCACCATGGTCCGTGGACATGTCCGTGAAAGTAACTTAGAGATAAAGTACTTACCTGAGGTTCACGAGAGGCTAGAAAGAGTGTGAACCCTTCCGTGAACCAAGTTATGGCAATTTCCAGTAGCCTCTTTTGGCTGCAGTTGAGGATGATGGGCCGTGAGGTTTGCCCATGAAAGGCACCACAGCCCATGGGACTACTCGTGAAGAGTTGTCTACACCCATTTCCTGCAATTCTTAGTCCAAATCTTTCATGCACTCATCAACACACAGTGACTCTATAAAAGAAAAGAAAAATGAGAAAAAGGAAAGTAACTATTACAATTACAATATTGGGTTGCCTCCTAAGCAGGGCACAATTTAACGTCACGGCATGATGCAGGTTACTTGATTACTCAGACTTCATCAAGCTTACATTCCTCCACTATTTTCACTTTTTTCTGGAACACCCAAGTATGCCTTGATTCGCTGACCATTGGCCTTGAACCTTTTATCCTTGTCATTCTCAAGCTCAATAGCACCCAACTGGAATACCTGAGTTACCTTAAAAGGTCCAGACCATTTGGATCTCAACTTTCCCGAAAATAGACGAAGTCTGGAGTTGAAAAGTAACACCAAATCACCAGGAGTGAAGGTTCTTTTCTCAATATGCTTGTCATGATACAACTTCATCCTCTTCGTGTACAGTGCAGACCTCTCATACGCTCTCAAACGAAACTCATCCATCTCATTAATCTGATCCAGTCTCAAGTTTGTTATTTTACCCCAACTAAGATTCAACTTATGCTCAAGCTCAACCAGCAAATGACATGTCTTTCCAAACACCAATTGATATGGAGACATACCAATATGCATCTTCAAAGTTGTCTGATATGCCCATAGAGTATCATCTACCTTTCATGCCCAATCTATCATGTTGGCATTCACTGTTTCAGCCAGAATCGCCTTTATTTCTCTATTGGACACCTTCACTTGGCCACTGGTCTGCGGGTGATAAGGTGTTGCCACCTTGTGCTGTTTAACCCCATATTTGGCCATAAGCGCACTGAATACCTTGTTGCAAAAATAGGAACCACCATCATTGATAATGGCACTGGGTGTGCCAAACCTTGTGAAGATATTCTTCTTCAGAAAGCCAGCAACACTCTTGCCATCATTCTCAGGCAAAGGAACTGCCTCAACCCATTTGGACACATAGTCCACTGCCACCAATATATACTTCTACCCATAGGAGCTCACAAATGGGCCCATGAAATCAAATCCCCACACATCAAATAGCTCCACCTCTAGAATAGGTGTCTTGGGTAACTAGTGGCGCCGAGAGATGGCTCCTTGCTGTTGGCACACATCACAACTCCTTACTATGTCCATCGGATCTTGATGAATTTTGGGCCAGTAGTACCCATACTGAAGTACCTTGTGGGTTGTCCGACCACCTCTATGATGGTCACCTATTGGAGAGGAGTGACAGGCCTCTAGAATGTGCAACATCTCAGCTTCAGGGATGCATCGCCTGATGATATTATCAGCACACACCCTGTACAAATAAGGTTCATCCCAAAAATACTTACCCACATCATGTAGGAACCTGTTCCTTTTCTGAAATGTCAACCCTTTAGACATCAAGTCACTAACAAGGAAGTTAGCAAAATCAGCAAACCAAGGAATAAGATCAAGAGTAGCGGCTAACACATGCTCATCCGGGAACGAATCATTGATTTCGAGCTCAAGTTCCTCTTTCTTTTTAGACTCCAACCTAGACAGGTGATCAACAACCTGGTTTTCACAACCTCTCATATCCTTAACCTGAAAATCAAATGCTTGAAGCAGCAACACCCATATGATCAACCTGGGTTTGGCATATTTATTTGCCATGAGGTATCTAGGAGTTGCATGGTCCGTGTGGACTATCACTATCACTCTAGTACCCAGGAAGTAAGCTCTGAATTTCTCGAAAGTATACACCACAACCAGTAGTTCATGTTCAGTGATTGTGTAGTTTCGTTGTGCTCCATTTAGTGACTTGCTAGCATAATATATCAGATGGAACATCTTGTTTCACTTTTGCCCCAGCACAACTCCTAGGGCCGTACACTAGCATAGCACATTACCTCAAATGGTTCAGCCCAATCTGGGCCAATGATCACAGGGGAAGAAATCAACTTCTCCTTCAGGCAGTCAAAGGCTCTGAGACATGCCTCATCAAAAGCAAATTTCACCTTCTTCTCCAAAAGTTTGCATAAGGGGTGTGCAATTTTCGAGAAGTCCTTGATGAAACGCCTATAGAATCCGGCATGTCCTAAGAAACTTCAAACACCCTTCACACAGATAGGTGGAAGAAACTTTTCAACCACCTTAATTTTGGCCTTGTCGACCTCTAACCCCTTTTGTGACACCTTGTCCCCTAGGACTATGCCTTCCTTGACCATGACATGGCACTTCTCCCAATTTAGCACTAGATTAGCCTCCTCGCATCTATATAAAGCCCTGCTAAGATTAAGCAAACAGTCATCAAAGGTATCGCCTACCACTGAAAAGTCATCCATGAATACCTCCAGAGTGTCCTCCACCATGTCCGAGAAGATAGACATCATACACCTCTGGAAAGTTGTTGGTGTATTACATAGTCTAAATGGCATGCATTTAAACGCAAATTGCCATAAGGACATGTAAAGGTGGTCTTTTCCTAATCTTTAGGAGTAATTGATATCTGGTTGTAGCTAGAGTATCCATCTAAGAAACAGTACCACTATTTTCCATCCAGCCTGCCAAGCATCTGGTCCATGAATGGCATCGGGAGGTGATCCTTCAAGGTCCACTTGTTCAGCTTCCTGTAGTCCATGCACACTCGCCATCCAGTGACTAGTCTTTATGGGACCAACTCATTCTTTGTGTTTGCCACCACTGTCCTACCACTCTTATTGGGCACACATTGCACTGGGCTGACCCAGTGACTGTCAGAAATGCGGAACAGCACCCCAACATCTAACCACTTGATGATCTCTTGTTTTACCACCTCTTGGATTGGTGGGTTTAACCTCCGCTGGTGTTCAATGCTTGGGCTGCAGTCCTCCCCAAGTTGGATCTTATGGGTGCATATACCTGGAGGTATCCCGATGATGTCAGCAATGGTCCACCCAATAGCCTTTTTGTACCTTATTAACACTTTGATCACATCTTGAACCTGTTCTTCATTCAAATATGCATCCAAGATTAAATGCAAATTGTTGTTAGTACCCAAAAATCATACCTCAGGTGACTGGGTAACTGTTTCAGTTCCAGCACAGGTGGCTCCTCAATGGATGGTTTTGCTGGAGGACTTGGCATGTTTTTCAAATCCAGGTCTAGTTTGTTTGGAGCATAAGAGTGAGCTCTCATTCACGGTCTCTACATAGTTAGACTAGAAATCAACTTCAAAGTTCATCAACACGAATGTTAATGTTTCGACAACCATCCTCTCCTCAATAGTCGCTCTAAGCTCTCCTTCATCATCAACTTCTATTGCCGACACAACATTCATGTCTTAAGGTTGCTTCATGGACCTACAAATGTTAAACTTTACCTCTTCATTGTTGAGCCTGAATTTCAGCTCTCCGCTCTCGACATTAACCAATGCTTATCCTGTGGCTAGAAATGGTCTTCCCAAGATTATGGGAACCTCAAAATCGACTTCGTAATCCAAGATCACGAAGTATGCCAAAAAGATGAAAGTATCCACCTTTATGAGCACATCACATAAGATGCCCACAGGTCGCTTCATTGACCTATCTGCCATCATCAACCTTATTGATGTGAGTTTTGGAACTCCTAACCCTAGTTGCATGTAGATGGCCAGCGGCATCAAGTTTATACTAGCCTCTAAGTCACACAAGGCCTTTGCGAATTTGATTGATCCGATTGTGCACGGTATGGTGAATGCACCCGGATCCTCCTTCTTTTGTACCAGAGACCTAGTAGCAATAGCACTGCAGTGATGAACATTGTCAGTAAAATCAATACTTACAGCTCTTTTCTTCATGACCAAGTCCTTCATGAACTTGGCATATCCTGGCATCTGCTCTAGGGTTTCCACCAATGGTATGTTCATTGACAGTTGTCTCAGGATGGTGATGAACTTCACAAATTTCCCATCTTCGGCTTTCTTTTTAAGCCTTTGAGGGAAAGAAGGTGGTGGTCTTGGGATCTGTTGTAAAGGCATAGTTCTCTCGACCTCTTTCTCCATTGCTCCTGCTTGTTTTGCTATTGGCTGAACGTCCTCCGAGTCATCTACTTGTTCAGCTTTGGCCTCCTCTCTTCTAGTTTGCTCCACCACCTGTTCATTCTCAGTACCTACAAAAATTGGGTCATTAAGAATCTTACCCGTCCTTCTTAGGATTTTCAATAGTATCACTAGGCAGTGACCCATTCTCTCTTTGGTTTAGTGATGCTGAAAGCTGCCCCAACTGTTGCTTTATTTGCTTGATGGAGATGGTGTGAGAGTCTACCAGTTGACTCATACTGGAGAAATCACCTTTCATCTCGTTTACCCCTACATCAGTTGACTCAACTTTTTGAAGCAGCTTGGCCAATATGTCTTCCAGCTTAGACCCGCTGGAACTACCACTTGCCTGGTCTCTATTACCTGGGGCACATACACACCACTGCGATCATTTTTGTACCCATATCTATTCTGTCAGTTTCCATGCTCTCTGTTTGCTGGCCTATCATATTGTCCTTCTCTTGAGTAGTTTCGACCTGCATTTCCAGAATTGTAACCTTGGTTTTTCGAGTTATAATTCCGGAAACCTGCTTGGTTGCCCAAGTATTTTGCCTCCTCATCTAGATCGATGTCCTGATCTTCATACATGTTTGGAGGTCCCATAACATTTACCTTTTAAGAACTTGCAACAATATGCTTTGTGAATAGATCTATCTGGGTCCTCATGTGTGTCATGTCCTGATCCCTTTCTTCTTCTTTTATCCTTTGTTCAGCTAAGAGTTCAAAAGTGAACCCAAGGTTTCCTACTTCTGCATCCCTAGTGTACCATGCCCTATTATTCTTAGACATCTCGTCCATCAGCTACATGTTTTCTGAAAATGGCTTCCTCATGAATGATCCTCCACACACTGCATCAACAACAGGTTTAGTAACATAATTCAATGATCTATAGAAATCCTATTATAGATGTCTCTCAGTGAGACCATGGTTTGGACACTTCTTCAGCTTTTGGCTGAATCTCCACCAAGTGTCATGCATCGCTTCTCCTGGTAATTGCTTATGGGCACTTATCTCATCCTTCCTCTGCAGCTCTTTTGATTCCGGAAGAATCGTTCCAGGAAGGCCTCCTTCAATTCAGTCCAAGTCCTGATTGAATCATCTGGCATCTTATTCAACCAATTGGTCGCCTCCCCAGTAAGAGACAATGGAAACAACCTCAATCTCATTGATGTTTGGCTAACTGCAGGAATTTCTTGTGATTTGCATATCGCCACAAAGTTCATCAAATGTTGATTCGCATCATCACCAGTTGCACCCATGAACATACCTTTCAGATTCAGCAGTTGAATCATAGTGCTGGTGATTGTGAATTTCACACCTGGAGGTAGTGCAAGTAACATTTTCGCTCCTGTGGCTCCAGCTCCATCCAAGTCTAAGTCATCCTCTTCATACATCATGTGAGTTGGATGTTGTGCTCTACCCCTTGGAGCTATTGGTTGGCGGTGGGGAGGAACAATTTCATCCACTTCTATGTTTTCTTCCACCACCCTAGGCGGGTTGTTCACAGCATTCTTCTGAATACCTCTTGCAGCAGTTTCAGCTTCCAGTCCCAGTCTTTGCCTCTGAGCCTCAAGTTCTTGTGCATTTACCATTTTGCGGATTGTCTTCCGAAGTTCAGGGTCGTATGGGATCAATCTGGCTCCCTTACTTCTGGTATTTGGCATACACAGTCGAACTCACTTGAAAGAGACACAGACAAAGAACAAGACATAAAATTAGGAAATATAACTACACGTCGAATAAAAGCTAGTAAAACACACCTGAATTGAAATTCCCCAGCAGCAGTGCCAAAATTTGATACGTCCAAACTTACACCTCAATTAAGAGGTATAAATGGTTGAATTCAATTTGTAGAACTCAACGTGAGTTGAGGTCGATCCCACAGAGAATTTCTTAAGATAAATGATTTCAATGTCGCGTTTTACTCAAATGTCGTTATTATTTCCTAAAGAAACAGTTACGGAGAGTAAAATGGATTTAGCTATAAAGCTCTAGTAACCAAGGTTGTTAACTAAGATCTAATTTAACAATTAACAGAATATCATTTTTAAAGTTGTTTCAATAATTAAATGAAACTAGGATTGTGTTCCCCATAACGTTGCATCTAATGTTCTTCCGTAGATGAGTTTCAAGCAATTTATCTCTACAAAATATAGGCGAGCTAAATATATCTGATACTTCTCAGTCTAATCATATAATTTTCACTCAAGTCCTCTCGGTCCCAGAGTGTTACAAGTTTTACCCTCGCTTACAATAGTGTTAAAGTTCTTTTCTCTCGAACTCGAACTTTGACTCCATTTCTTCAGGTTAATTTGGCTTTTTCCTAACTATCATTTTTCTCTCGAACAAATGATAGATACAGGCTCACCCTAATGCGTGCACTCATTAGAATACATGAATAATGAAAGCTAAATTATACTTTGCAAAAGTAATTCGCCTTTCAAACTTTTTACGGAATTACACTTAGATTTACATCATAGATCCCACAATCCCAGTTGTGGTATTTAGCCACTCATCATATCACGTAAACATACAGAAGTATATAATGAAAACAGGACAAGAAAATGCATACGAAAATAGGCAAATCGATAAGCACTTTGATGATACAAGAACCGGAAAATTAACTTTCAAACTTAATTTGATGTTAATCTCGAAAACCAAAAGCTAAGAATATTTCAAAAACTATGTTCTTCATTCAAGATAAAACAAGATAAAAACTCAAAACGACCTAATTAATTCAAATAAAGTGTTTTAAAAAGTGTCCTACTCGAAGTAGGACTGAACTGTCGGACACTTCACGACTGCCTCCACGACCCGTCAAGGGCTTCACGGTCCGTGAAGCCCTTCATGGTCTTCACTTGCACTCACCCAAAACAAGTTATTCAAGGCTTGTACACTGGATCATCACCACAGTTACACCACCACGACTCATGAAAATTACCACGGTCCGTGTAGTTGTCTGTGGTCTTCACTTGGTTCAATCCTCTTTCAGATTTTCATTGCCCTTTTACTAGACCATCTTCACGACTCTCACCACGGATCGTTATGAGGACCACGGCCCGTGAGGTTGTTCGTGGTATTCACTTGGTTTAATTCTCTTTCAGCTCCTCTAACCCTCAGCACTGGTTCAACTCTACGAGCATCTCCACAAAAAGTAGTGAAGATCACAGCCCGTGAGGTCGTCCGTTGTCTTAACTTCCAATTTTCACTGAATTTTCTTCTTTTCTATCTTCTTTCACTTCCACCTGTTTCACCTGTACAAACACTACCAAACACATTATATCCACATAAATACACTCGATTCTAGTATTAATCCTTAGTTTTCAAGCATCAAATGTGACAAGATTTCGTGGCACATCACTCAACTATCACAAGCATAATCTCATAATATTCTTCTATAATCAACAAACCCACATCACAAGATCATAATTGAGTAATATGGGGGTTTCATGGGTTTTTGGGGATTTTAACATAAAAACCATAATAAATCATTAATTCAAACATGATATAAACTAAATAAAACATTAGAATCATTTTTGGAAGGAACCCATGACTTGGAGGCAAACCCTAGCTTTTGGGAAATTTCTATCTTTGAGATTGAGCTTTGAAGGGACTCTATGGATGAAGACTATCCATAGATGAAGGACTACCATACCTTAACAATGAAGCCCAATGAATTTGGTGAGAAGAACTTGATTCTTGAACCCTATCTCCACCTTCCTTTTTCTTCTTCCTTGAAGTTCTAGAGAGAGAATTTCCTTTGGAGAGGATGAAGTTTAGGGTTTTCTTTTGGATTCTAGGGAGAATGACTTAATTGGGGGAATTTTGAGCATAAAAAGCTTATATACTTTAATAGGGAAGGAGTAAAATGATTTAGTACAGAATTAGGAAAATAACAAAAGACCCCTAAGACTCCCAACTTAAAAACTGCAGATCTGCACGCTGAAGCTCACCAAGCGCACTTGGCGACTCGCCAAGTGGACCCTTAGCCCGCCTAAAATTACAGCAGTTCACCCTCAAGGAGCAGGCCAACTTGGCGATGGGGAGCCTTTTTGGCGATGCGCCAACCCAACCGGCGTGCCCCGACCTGGCTCTCCCAATTTTACAGCAGCTAGGCCAAGGGGGACAGCCCACTGGGCGATGGAGGCTCCACTTGGCCAATTGCCAAGTTACTTTGGCGATGGCACTGCCCCTCGCCAAGTGGATCAAGGAAAAAAACTATATTTCCTTCACCCTTCCCAAGGTATTTTAGGCCCTTGACCTCCTTCATGGCAAGTTACCTCCTCACTCTTAGCCCTAGTCTAGCCTACTAGAATCCGGGGTGTTACATCCTTGTAGACCAAACTCAACATTCTTAAGCTAACTGCGCTAACAAAATTCTCATTGAACCTCGTTTACTCAGAATGCTGACTAAACCAAACTAAGGCCTTAACTTAAAATTTAGAACACCTAATCACATAGACTCGCACTGAAAGCCTCAAAAATCATTTTGACCATGTTACTAGCCTAAATGACCATTCCGGAGCTGATGGAATTATCAAAATTGGATTCTGAGTTCATCTTCTTTAACTTTTGATTAAGAAAATGACCATTGAAGGTTCAAAAGCTCTGAAACACTAAAACTTGCATAAAAACTCAACAACGATCAGGTGACGAAAATGTCAACCCCATCAAGTCATAAATGACTTGGGTTCACTATAGGAATGCTCTAAATGGCGAACATGAGGCATAAACACATAAATGACTTGTTTGTACATTTTGGAGCAACAATACTTTTACCGCTTGAACCATGATATGAATCTTTGACTAATGAATTGTCTTATTACTTCCATCTGCGAACTTTTCTTATTACTTCGAAGAAAATGCTTGTCTGTGCCTTGAAGAGTAAGAGGCTATTGATGAGAAAAGGTTGGAAGCTCAACAAAGTCTTGAATGCTATCAAGCTCGTCTTTCTCGTGCTTTCAATAAAAAGGTTCGCCTAAGGTCCTTCCAAGTTGGTGATCAAGTCCTTGCAGTAAGAAGACCAATTATCATATCTCATAAATCGGGAAGCAAGTTCACCTCAAAATGGGATGGACAATACGTCATTCAAGAAGTCTATTCAAGCGGAGCTTACAAACTTGTGGATGCAGATGGCTTGCGGATTGGTCCCATCAATGGAAAATTCCTAAAGAAGTACTATCCTTGAAGCAAAGTCATTCTCCTGGCCCGCAAGACTATAAACCTTGTACGACTCCAAAAAAATGTTCGCTAGGTTAAAAACCTCAAAAGAGGCGGCCTAGGCAAAAGTTAGGACACAAAAATAAAAAAAAGTTCACGCTCTGAACTACGTTATGACTTGATCCTCTTCACTGAGGTACGTAGGCAGCTTAGAGTATTATTACTGTAGATTCAGTCATTAGAAAAAAAATAACGTCGCCATGTGAATATCATGATAATTCTTTCAAATGAAGAGACAAGCACACCAGATTTTGAGCTGACTTTGAAGACAAATTTGTACTAATCCGTAAATCCTATGGACATGATTTTTATACAGATTGAATATATAGAAGTTATCTTTCTAATAAAAAAAGAAACTCATTATTCCAGCACTTCTACTCCAT